CCATCTGTACCCTCTTGCAGCTGGGTGGACAGAATGTCTGAACCCTGTAACATTGATCAGTCATTTCTTGTCTCCTCCTTCTTTTCAAGGTTGAGAAAAATTGACAGCATCTTCATTTTTGGGAAGCCAGAGGTGTCAGTCCTCTCCATTGGCTCAGGCACTTTTGACATCTATCGATTGTCGAATTTTTTAGCTGCAAAAGGATGGAACTTGAATGTCCTACAGTTCCCACCAAGGTGAGTGTGTGGAGACCAGGGAGTGATTTATTTAGCCAGGGTATGCAAGATGGTCAACTTCAGGCCATGTAGCTCTCATGATTTGCTGAGTACTGTTGTCAATAGCTGATAAATTGTATGTAGAATTTTCCTCTGCAGAGCAGGAATCACTTTTGTAATTACCATTACACAGCAGTGAAGATAAAGTAATAGTGATTTTAATGAGTCTGGCAAAGATCTTTCTATCTACCTCTATCTACTACAAACAGAAAAATATAAATAACCAGGGCTCTATCTCATATTTAGTTAACTGGGGGTTTGTAGATTCATTTATTTATTTTTACTGTCTTCCTCCTGCCCATTGAAAATGAAGGAAAGTAAAACAACAGTGAAGGGCTGATAATTTTCAATATAAAATTAATCTTTGTCAGAGACTTTCCTTAAGTGGGAAATTGGGCTTTTATGGGCAGAAAGGGCCCGTGGTCACAGACGCAGCTGCACTGAAAAAAAATTTTGACTGGCTGTGTGAAGCAAAGTCCAGAGAGCCTGAAGTGATAGCTCAGAGGTGGGTGATGGCTTAGAAGCTGCGGAGGAAGGAGAGGGAAGTGATGGCAAGGGTCCCCATGCTTGCAGGCAGCTGCATTTTTCTCACCAGAGGTACCTGGAATGAAGGGAGAAACTTTAACTTAATTGTGAAGTCAGGAAGGAAGAATGAACTGGTTCTAGCAAGCATTTTGCAGGAATTTCACTTAGTAGGAATGCTGTTTCAAGGAGATGCACAGTTGTCAGTGGCCACAGAAGGGCTCAGGAAACATGGAGCTGTGTGTGCTGGAGGTGGTTAATCTCTGCCCTCTGCCCTGCCTGCCCAGCATCCACCTCTGCATCACACAGCTGCACACCAAGCCCGGCGTGGCTGAGCAGTTCCTGAAGGATGTCAGGGACAGCATCCAGGATATCATGAAGGACCTTGGTGCCAAGACCACCGGCATGGTGAGGAGGCCAGCACACAGTGGGGGGTGTTTGGGCTGAGGGTGTTTCTCCTGTGTAACAGCCTCTCTTCTCTGCTTAGGGAGCCATCTATGGAATGGCACAGTCTGTCCCAGACAGGAGCCTGGTGGCAGAGATTTCCCAGGCCTACCTGGATGGCCTCTACAGCACGGATGTTCCCAGCAGTGAAAAGCACATGAATGGCTCTCCAGGCCACCACTGACTGTAGTGCAACAATCTGTGCCTTGCCAGCCAGCACTGGGGTGGTTCCAAAGGTTTCCTAGGGAAATAGATTGCAGTTCCTTTGTTCCAACAACTGCCGGTCTGAAGGTGGCTTGATGTGGAAGAACTCCTTCCCTGTCTTAGTCTGTTCTGAAATCTACATTGTTTTCATGCCCAATTTCAGTTGTAGGGCTTTTCTTCCCTCCCCCCTGCCTGTTTTCATCATGGCTGTTGATGGTGAACTGAATGTCCATTCCACAGCTCTGAATTCCTCAGGTACTCTGCATGTCACTTCATTCTGTGTTGTTTCTCCTCCCCAGACCTGGTGTTCAGCCAGTGTCCAGCCAAGTGTTAAATTTGAGTTCTCACATTGTGTTCCATGGCTCCAATCTTCCCAGAAATTAATGGTAGACAGTAAATTGGAAATTTTGTTTTCTCTTGAGTGTTCCTGTAAGCTGCTGCATTTAACAGACTGTGCTGGGAGCCTTATATCTGTGTAATGCAGAGCTGATAAATTGGCAGACGGAAGGCACTCATGGCCTCCTTTTGAAATCCCCTCTGGAGATCTGAGCAAGACTGCAATCAATATCTGCTGAGGGAGAGAAAAAAACAACACAAAGTCCTTTTCTGGAATCTCCTGAACAATAGCAGAAATAGAAACCACAAAGGTGGTGTAGGGGGCGGAACTGGATGGTACTGAAAACCCTGGGTACATTGTGGCTGTTCTGCTCCGCTGCCTCTTGTAGAAGACATGCACTGACCACCCAGGAGTGCTGTTTTCCCTTGCACAAATCTGGAGGGAGGTGCAAAGCTCATTTCACTGTTCAGAACTTGAAGGTTTTACACTGTCCCCTCATGATGCTGTAGCAGAGCCAGCCAGGCCCTGGCCCGTGTCACAGACAGGGACGTCGTGTGCAGACGTTTTTTTTTTTTTAGCACAGTCTTTTAGTATCAAAAAGGTAACTTTTGTAATAGCAGTAATCTCAGCTCTTTGCACTGATTCTTTTAAGGCACATTCTCAAAAGGGCATTCACCACTGTGCCTTGATGCTTCTCTGGCTTTTTTTTGTGGCATGCCAGAGAGGGTTGGAGGGTTCAGCTGTTTGACCATGGCCTTGGTTGTGGTCTTTTCTTTATGGTACTAATTCTGAAAACAGACCTCAAAGGCAGGCTGGCCTCAGAGGAAGCACCCTTGCCTGTTAGGCAGGGTAGTAGTTGTAATGAGCCAAGTCCCTTCACAGTATTACAAAGATGCTGGGAGAAGCAGAGGAAAGGATGCAGCAAGTCAGAGCTGTTCCAAACTTGGGCACGTGGCTCAGCCTTCCTATTTTTCTCCCTGTTCTTAGGGTGAGAGAGTTTTCCCAGTGTAGCCTTGTGAGGCAGTTGTGGCCTCAAGGACAAGCCAGAATCTCTCAAGTAGTATTGGAGTTACTCCTGCAGGGCTTTCCCATGTTTGCTTTCAGCTTTTTGCATGGAGCAGAGTTTTCCCAGGCAGAATCCTGCACGTGGATGAAGACTTCATGTTGTGCCTGCACAGTCCTATGCAGGCCATCTAAAGGCATCTCTCTGCCCTAGCGTGTTAGCCTGAAGCTGACCCTGGCTGAAGCACAAGAATTTTAAGGAATGAGAAGGTCACTGACCAGCTCCTGCACAAACCAGTGCAGCCTTGGGCCCAGCCATTGTGGGAAGGATGCTGGCTTTCCAACAGCTTTATTCCCTGTGCTAGGAGACACAAGCACTTTGGCCATCTGCCCTGAGCTTGATGACTTCATGCAAATCTCTGAGCCCTTTTGAAATCATTGAATTGCCTGAGAGTCTCTTGGTGGTGATATCAGCTCTGGTGATATCAGTTTGGATTGGGGATTGGACCTATTTATTTTCTCAAGGTCTTGCCAATGTGACCATTACTGTATTTCTGAGTTTGGAGACAGTCTTCAGTGTCTGGCTACTGTGATGGTTCTCTTTGGAACCGAGATTTAACAAAACAAAAAAAGGGAGGTACTCTTTTTGTTTATGATTTAAAAGAAAGGGGTGGGCTGAAAGAGAATGAAACTCCCTTCTCTTCCTTCCCTGGTTGCATTTTCCTCCCAGGAAGTAGGTGGATCAAACAGATCAGTGCTCCATTTCACATTTTTGGATGTATTTGAAGATATTATTTGTAAGTCAATGTATTCTATTCTGGGCTTTGCTTATTAATAATATTTGTGGGTTTAATTGTTCCGTATGTATTTGTCCTATACTCTAAATGTAATCCTGTGGTCAGGAATAGGCCACTGTAATTCCCTGGTGTGTAGTTTTTATTCATCCTTGTCACCTAACATGTAATCTGCATCTACTTTATCATGCCAAATGGTCTTGGAAAAATGGATTTACAGGCTGTGAGACTGTTTTAAAGACAAAAAAGAGAAGAATTTGATGAACTGGATTATGATCTGAAACTGGACGGTACTTCTAGACCTGGAGGGGTCCTTGCCACTGTTAATTCCTGTGGGATTTTCTGGTTTTCCACGCGGGACACTCAATTTGTTGCTTGTACAAAGCACTCCCAAGGGATTCACCTGTTCTTAGGTACTCAAATGAAGAATATCCAATGGGATGGACCAAGAAGAGAAGTGTGTCTTCATGCCATGGATTTCATCTGCACTTTCCTGATGACTTGGGGGAGAGGGGAGCAGAAGGGTTGTGTACAACACAATAATACCTTGCCCAATAAATCCACGAGGACTTTTTTAATGGACAAATGGGACGAGTTGATCTGATGGCAGTTTTCTGCTTTGCTCTGATTTGCCACTGTCAAACTGGAGGCTGAAATAGCTGGAGATGGTGAAAATGGGCCTGGTTTGTATTAAAATGGTGCATTTAGCTATCTAGGCTCACTGAGCTCTTATTTTTCTGCTTCAGTGCTTGTTTGAATGAACCTATTGTTCCTGGAACTTGCTCATGCACAGCCTGGTCTGTGGCAGGGAGGATGGTTTATGAATCTTACTAACTCTGCCTGAAGGCTGCTCTGTCCTTCTGTCAAAATGAAGGTGGCGTCTGTCTGCATTTTGTGTGTGATGTTCAAGGATGCTGGAAGTTAAGAGCTACATATTTCCTATTAATACTTGGTAGGACTTCAAAGGGTTAAAAAAAGAGAAGAAAAAAAGACTTGAACTGGGTGTTTGTAGTATTTTTCCCCAGACTGTGGTGCTGAAATCACTGTTGGTTTCACATGAGATTGTTCATTGTATCAGTGAAGATCCTGCACCAGCAAATCCACCCCCAACCTCCTTTTGGGAAGTATTCCACTCTGCTCTGATGCTGTGCTGCTTTTGTGTCTTTTGGTTGTCCTTTCCCTGTGTTTGTGCCTTGGCTGTGGTACAGCTGTGATTTTTACACAAGCAGTTTTTACCTGCCCTGGCTTTGATCATCTCTTAGTCTTTCAGGCCCCAGTCACTCTGCGGTGAAGGCACCTGCCACTTGTGTGTGAAGTTTTTTTGTGGCAGCGGCACCTTCTTGAGAGCAGTCAGAGCAGTACCTGCCCTTGGGGAAACCTGTTGGTGTTGTTTGGTCAGTGAGGCCTCTTTCCAAAGAGCCATCAGGTTACATGGAATGTTTATTGTAAACTTTTTCAGTTGGTATCCTACAAAAGGCTGGCTCCAGTCGGGTGGGACCATGTGCCTGATGTAATACTGCTGGAGAGGGGTTACAGCAGTGACAAATTGCACAGCACATTGCTGTGTGGTTACAGAGAAGCCAGAGGGTTCACAAAGCATGTTTTAGGCAGAAAGCATATTCCAGGAGGCAAGGAACAACAACAGGGGTTGGATGGAGGCAGGCTCTGGACAGATTTACTGGTGCAGTGGTGTAACTTGACTCTGGAAGGATGTCAACCTGTTGGAGCGACTCCAGGGGAGGTACCAAGATGATCAGAGGGATGGAGCACCTCTGTTGCCAGGAAAGGGTGAGAGAACTGGGATTGTTCAGCCCAGAGAAGAGAAGCTTTGGGGTAACCTAATTGCAGCCTTCCAGTGCCTGAAGGAACCGACAAGAAACACTGAGAAGGACTTTTCACAAGAGCATGTGGTAACGGGACAAGGAGAAATGGATTCACACTGAATAGGTTTGGATGGGACAGTGGAAAAAAATCCTTCCCTGTAAGAGTAGTGAGGCCCTGCCACAGGGTGCCCAGAGAAGCTGTGGCTGCCCCTGGATCCCTGGAAATGTCCAAGGCAAGGTTGGGACAGTGGAAGGTGTCCCTGCCCATGGCAGGGGGTGGAATAAGGTGAGCTTTAAGGTCCCTTCCAACCCAAACCATCCTGTGACTCCTGCTAAGAGGCTCAGCAGCTGGGGCTGTGGGATCACATGGCTAAGGAAGGGTTTAAGGATGGAATTTGCAACATCAGAGATGGATGGGTGCACCTTGAGAAGTGCCTCCATCCGTCTGAGCTGCTCTGGGGGAGCTGGCGAGGTGTCAACAGGCTGTTTGGAGTCAGGATCTACCTTGGAAGTGGGAAGAGGCTCTGGGTGCATACGTGGAGGCAGGATACAGTGGCACAGTGAGTTTTTGGCTGCGTGGATCCCTGGTCAGGAGAGGGAAGCTGCCACCTGCTCGATGAAGCTGGCCAGGTTGATGTCTCGCTCCGATAAACCCCCGCAGTCGTGGGTGCTCAGGGTGATGTGAACCTAAGGCAGACAGACAGGCTGAGTCTTGTTGACAGAAACAGCAGGGCTGCTTTCCTCAGTGCTGCATCTGATGAGACACTAGCTCCAAACTTGTTAGCAAAATTCCCTGGGGTGGCAGAGGTGCTCTGGCACCTTGCCCGGTTTTTCTCCTTCCTACGTCTCATGCTGGCCACAAGCTGTCACTGCCACCCCAGCCTTGGTCACAGCAGCCACCTGTGTCCATTTTCAATTTGCTCTTTTCCCCAGAAGCTTTTCCTGTGGTTGCTACTTGATACAGATTTTAAAAAGCAATGCTAGTGTCAGCCTGTGGCAGCTACTGCTCAGCTGAACGGGATAAAAGGAGGAAGAGAGGATCTGTGATAGCTGAAGGCTCGCTGTGATATGGGAATAGCATCTGAGGGAAGAGGTCCTGCTGATGGAACAGCACTTGCTGCTCCTGTTTTATCTCTCAAAAAAGGGAGCTCCTGCCTGAACTGTGCTCTGCTTTGTCCCCATTGTGTTTCTTACCTTATTGTACACATTGAACCATTCGGGATGGTGATCCAGTTTTTCTGCCTGTAGAGCCACTCTGGTCATGAAGCCAAAGGCCTGTAGGGTCAGAAGAAAAAGTTAACTCTGAACCATTTACCCTGCAACATCTAAGTTTTCACCCCAATTGCTATTAATTTTACACTGCCTGTGTCTCCATAATCCAAATGCAAGGCCTGGGATGGTCTGGGAGTTTTCTATGGGTGTTCCTCTTCCTGAGGAGTGTTTCCCAGACAAACTGTGATGGATTGACCCCTTTGGTGTCTTGGGGAAGCTATTTTGCTCAGCCATTCCATTTCAGGAGAGACACAGAGTGTTTTCTTTGGCTGAGCTTTGCAGAGGGGACTCCCCGCTCTGCAAACTGGATGTCACAGTCTGCAGAACTCGGTGCCCCTGGTGCTCGTACCCGGTTGAAGTCCTTGAAGTGGAACTCTTTGAAGATGGCATCTCTGCCTTCCACCTCTTTCCACCCCACGGCTTGCAGGTTGGGCAGCAGCTGCTCCCTCTCCTCCGTGCTCAGCCTGTGGGCTTTGCCTGCCTGGAAAGGGAAGAAAAGTGAAGAGCAGGTCAGAGTGGTAGAAGTGGGATGAAGCAGATCCCATGGGTCAGGGAGATATGGGAATGTGGAGGCAGCTGCAGAGTGGGTGGACAGCTGGAATATACACATCCTCTGCTCCCTGCTTGGAATACATCCTGCATGGACCAAGGAAGTCCAGCTGCTCCCTTCTGTCCTCTCACCTGCAACACCTCCCACAGTGCATGAGGTACTAAGAAATGATACCGAAGTCCAAAATACATTTGGATAAACTCCAAAATACATTTTCTTTTATATATAATCTTTCTGGGGAAAAAAAAAAAAAATTAAAAAAAAAAAAAATTGAAAAACAGAAGCTCTTGTGGTCATTTCTAGATCTGAGAGTTGCTTTAGGGTTTCTAAAGTAGGAGGGCTTTTTTTAAAAAAAAATATTTATTTATTTATTCATTTATTGGGAGCCTGCTTTTGAGGAGAAAGAAGTGGTGTGGATCAGAGATGAGTCACACTAAGCTGCAGTTCAGGTCCTTTTTTCCTCTCCTTTATATTATAATGGATTTTAAGAGGCTGTTTCTGCCTGTGAGGAACAAAGGGCAGAGGGAGGGATTGTGGTTGAGCTCTGCCTTGGGCAGAGGTGCTGGTACTTAGTTTTTAAGGGGTGATAGTGGGGAGGCAGCAGTTCTTGGTTTTGAGGAGTGTTTATAGGCAGAGATGAAACTAAAATGAAGCTCTTGGGGATGGGGGCTGCTTGAGCCAGCTCTGATCTGGCTCAGTGGGGAAGGCAGGAGCGAGTGCAAAGGGGCACTGCTCTCTGAAATGTTATGTCCTGGCAATTAAAATTCTTTCACAGACTCACAGATTGTTCTGAGTTGGAAAGGACCCACAAGAATCTGCAAACTCCAACCTCCTGCCCTGCACAGCCCCAAGAATCTCACCATGTGCCTGAGAGCATTATCCAAAGACTCCTTGAGCTCTGGCAGGTTTGTGTGAGTTGATCTTTCCAGTTGGTGATGATAAAGAGGTCTATGCAATTTATTTTCCTTTATGTGCTGTACAGCCAAATGTGGCAAGTTGGATATGAGTCTTGACAAACCTGGCCCAGTTTTTTTTGTGGGTATTTGATCAGCAGTCCCTTGAGATGCTTCGCTTGGGCATCAATACTCAGAAATGGCATTGGGCAGCTGAAGCAAATCATCCTCTCCTGTGGCTTCCCTGCTCACAGGCTGCACAAAACCGAAGAACCAGCTGTGAAACTGATGTTTTGGTGGGTGATTCTTACATGTTTTGGGGAAGACAGGAAAGATGATACCCCATTCCAGTGGCTCTGTGGATGCCTACCTACCTGTATATCCACACCCTTAGAGTGCAGGGTGTCACTGGGGGTGGGATGCTTCCTGTCCCCCTGGCATTGCAGCTCTGTGCAATGGATTTTTGGGGAAAGTGTTCCTTGCCTCTGCATATTTTGGATGACCCCCTGGCAGCCCTGGCTCTGTCATCCCCTCCCCACCCCCTAAAAGTCAAAGTGCTGTGCTGGGAGGAAAGGTAGTGAGCAAACATGACTTAGCTCAATAAACCCAGAGCCGTTGCCCTTCCCTGCTGATGGTGTGATAAGCCAGGCAGGTAGCTTAGCAACTGGATAAGGTGGGGACAGAGGATGGCTCTGCTGGCAGGGAGCCACCCGCGGGGCACTGATGGGAATAGGCTGGGGCTGCACCAGGATTTGGGAGCACAGGATGAAACCTGCTCCTTATCCGTGCTAAAGAGAGGAAAGGTAAAAGCTGGAGTTGTTGCTTGGAGCAGAGAGGTATGGATGCAGGGGGCTGGGCTCCAAACCAGCCTTCTCCAGGCAGAGCAACACGGGGACATGGTGTAATTGTTCTTTTTCTCCGCTGTGACTCTGTGGGAGAATGGCCTCCGGGGCTTTTTCCAGCCCAGCTCCTCCCAGCACCAGCGGGAGGCATGGCCAGGCTGAGGTTTGGCACCTAGAGCACACAGAAACAACTCCTCTGGCTGTGTCGGAGAGCAAACCCTCTTCCTGGAGCACCCCCTGCCCTCTATCCTGCTCCAACATCCTCCTCCACCCCAGGATATTGGCCAGCAGGCTGGTTTTGTCAGGGTGGCATGTTAATGCTTTCATGTGCTCTCACTCCATAAAAACACACTCTTCTTGTTAGGAAAATCAAATTATTTTGTTTTATTCTGCTGGCTCCTAACTGCCAAAAAGTTTGGATTTTAATTTTTGGGGCTTTTTTTTTTTGCCAGCAGGAAAACAAGTAGATGCATTGTGCAACTGAGGGAAAGGAACCAGCAAGGGAAATGATGAAAGACTGGAACTCTCTTTGCTCTAAAATCTTCTGTTTTATAGAATCATGGAATGGTTTGGGTGGATGGGACCTTAAAGCCCATCCAGTTTCACCCCCTGCCATGGGCAGGGACACCTTCCACTATCCCAGACTGCTCCAAGCCCTGTCCAACCTGGCCTTGACCACTACCAGGGATCCAGGGGCAGCCCCAGCTGCTCTGGGCACCCTGTGCCAGGGCCTGCCCACCCTCCCAGGGAAGAATTTTTCCCTAATGAAAACTAGAATTTCCACCTAGGAGAAGGTACAGGGGAGCCCAGGGCGAGCGGGCAGGGCTGGAATGCTGTATCCCACAGGGGTCTTTTGCTGCCGTGGAAAAGCCGACTTCCAGCCGGCCAGGGCGTGCTGGGGGCTGTGCACATGGAGCACACCTGAGGGTCGTCCTTGCCGTAAAGAATGTGAGGGGAGGTCGTCCTTGCCATAAAGAATGTGAGGGGGGTCGTTGCTGGCGGATCCTTTCCCTCCCCCTCCTCTGCCGAGCGCTCCTCTGGGAACGGAGCCGCGGCGGCGGAGCTCCGGCGTTACTGATTAACCACAGCGCTGCGTTCCTTTCCCCCTTCCCTGCTGCCTCTCCTCGCAGCCTCCAGCTGCCGCTGCAACATTTCTGCCTTCCGAAAGGCACGACAAACAGCCGGCTTGCCCAGCGGCGACTTACCATGGCCCGCGGCTCTCCGTGCCCGCCGTGCCTGGGGATGCGCGCCGTGCCTGGGGATGCTCGCTGTGCCGGATCCCGCCGGAGCCGGGGCTTGTCCGCGATTGTCTGGGAGGCGTGGCGAGGCCACCGGGTCCACCCACGGCCAGCAGAGCCTTCCCAGCACTGGCCTCCTGCCTGTGGGGTGCGGGGGGTGGCCAGACAGGGTCTCTTGAAAGCCCTGCATGATGCGCTTTGCCCCCGAGCCGCGCACCCCTCTCTTCACCTGGGGCGCAAGGAGAAGTGGAGCGACATGGAGGGGGCATGTAACAGAGTAAAGCCATGGTTGACTCTCACAATTAAAAAGCAAATATCGTCTGTATATGTTAGAAGTTTTATAGACTTATGTTTTACCCCTCCCCCCCCTTGTGTTGTTATCCTGGGTTTGGGATATTTGGGAGGACTGGCTTGTCACTGTGGCAGCACCTGGCCTCCCATCAGAATTTAAGGAAGTAAAACTCCATCACTGGTCAGCGAAGGAGTCCATGGACAGAACTTTGGGAGGGGTTTAAGGGTTAAAAGGCGAAACCTCCATTGTGTGGGTGAGCACATAGTGGAAAAAAAATATCCTTTGCTCCCGGCCCTGTAATATTTTCTCTATTTAGTCTTCTGTTGTATTTTTGATAAGGTTTTAATAAACCTTTAAAATTTGTAAAAGTGAGTATCATTTCTCACAGGGCAGCTGCAGCCAGCCCCGCTGGATACTGCTAGCAGGTGTGAAGGAGGCTGATGGTGCTCCCGGCTGTATCCATAGCTCAGAGCACCGATAATCACCGTCCGGGACAGTGTCCGGGTTATATCGACTGAGAGGAAGGAGAAGTGCCCCTCACAACATTTCCCAGCATTTTTAAGGCGTTTTTTGCTATTGCTGAGTGCTGCTCCCTGGCATTTTCCCTCTCCAGGCCAGATGGATTTGTGCCCATGTCCTGCAGCTCGTCATCTGCTAAACCCACTCACATGATGGGCAGTTTTCCAGTGCTGACCATTTTTATTGTGCTGCTGTACGTGGCAGACAGAAATTCAGCCCCCTGCTATTCCCTCATGTCTTTCTTCACCTCTGAAGCAACCAATTCCAGATTTTTTTTTGGATACAGAATGACATACATCCCTTGTGCACATTTTGTTTTCTGCTGTAAGGGATTGCAGGTATCATAGAGATGATTTGTTTTTCCAGCAGTCAACTTAGAGGGAAGCAAATCCTTCCTTTTTATTTTTTTTTAATTTTTATTTAATTTTTTTTTTCCCCTTCTGCAGGTTTGTTTGCCAGGGTAATGAAAAGGAAAAAAATGACCATCTTTTTTGTCCAACAACCGGGCAGTTGAGGTTTTCCTCACTCTACAGGGTGGAATTGTGTTCAGGGGAATCCCTTGGCTGACTCCAACTCCTGAACCTCTAAGTTCCCCTTCTGTACAGTTTTAATTTCCCCATCTGAAATGGCACCCTTTAGGCTTGTTTTTAATGATTAATTCAGGGGTGTTGGGCAAAGTGTTTGCTCAGAGCAGTTTGTACCCTGTGCAAGGGGTGAACCTGTTTACTGGGAACAGATTTTTGTTCTTTTCCCCTCTCCTTTTTGTCTATTTTAAAGCTGTGCTGCTTTTGGTGGCAGCTAAACCCACATGTGTAGATGATTCTGCATATTTGGAGGGAGGTCTCATGTCACTCACTATTAGTATTCTTATTTTGATGATAATTTTTAATCAAAACATATCTGACCCTGAAAGCTGCTTTGCTCGGGAGCAATGTTCTATTTCCCCTCTAAAAATTTGCTTTTGCAGGGATAGATGGGATATTGGGAAGAAATCCTTCCCTGTGAGCATGAGGAGGCCCTGGCACAGGTTGCCCAGAGAAGCTGAGATCCAAAGGGTGTTTTAAACCAGGGTGGGCCGAACTCTTTCATCATCTGCAATCTGAAACATTGCTCTCATGGCAAAATAGATTTAATTAAAGAGTTTGTTTAGCACTGGAGGGGATTTATGGCAGGTGTGACAAGTTTAAGTTGACAAAAGGGCCCAATAAACAGAAATGAATCATTAATTATGTGCAAGATTTCCTCTTGTAGCACTGTTTTATCAAAATCAGTGAGGCTCTCAGAGCAATGAACAAAATAAAGTGGAGGCTGGCAGAAACTGGGGCATTGTTCTGCTCACACTGTGTGTAGGCTAAGGTCTTTTGTCTCAGGCAGAGTACCCTGCATGAAAAATAAGATGGAAAAAATAGCAATAAAATGGCATAACCACTTCTAATATGTCAAACACACAAATCCCAAAGTGGGAAGTGACTGCTTTCAGGAATATCAGAGCATATAGCAGTGAGCAGTGTTTCATTGAAGGGAGGTCTTGGTTGGATATGAGGAGAAGTTTTTTAGAGAAAGGGTGATGAAGTTCTGGAAAGGCCTGCCCAGGGAGGTGTTGGAGTCACCATCCCTGGATGTGTTAAAAACAGACTGGATGTGGCACCAGGTGCCAGGATTTTGTTGAAGTGTTGGGGCTGGTTTGGGCTCGATGATCTTGGAGGTTTTTTTCGACCTGGTCATTCTGTGAATTCTGTGACAAATCTGAGTTTTTCTACAGTTTACAAGTGGCTTTGGATAAATTGCTTAACCATCCTTGATTCCCATTCCCTGTGCTAGCTTGGATACTCATGCCCAGTTTATTGGGCTATCTCATGAATTATCTGGTATTTGAGAAGCTCTTAAATCCATGTAACTCCCATATAACAATGAAATGTGATCGTGCTTTTAGATCAGAACAACAATAATTCATAACTCAGCACATTTTGTTTTGATTTTCCTAAAACTGTCTGAATTCAAGTGACAGAGAAATATGATTCACCATATTCATGACTACTTCTCAGGTTTTCCAGAGGATGATGATGCAAACCTGAGTCCAAAGTATCCAAGAGCACTTTTCTGTGTCTGAAAAACACCAATCACTTGTCTTTAAAAATCTTGAAAGTTTATTAGTAATAAAACAGTTATAAAATAGTAATAACATTAGAATAATAAAAATTTGGACAATGAGGTTTAGCAGAATATGAGACAATAAAAAGCAAATAATTAGGGATGTCCGGATGTTTTTGGACACCGAGCTGTCAAAAACCTGCCTTGTGAACAAAGGAATAACCCTTAAAACAATAGCCTGTTGCATATTCATATATCTCATACATGATGCATAAATTCCTTGAAAATTAAGAATTTTTACGTTTTTTGTCAATTTCTTCCTCTTAATCTTCGTGCCATAAAGATGGAGAGAAGGTGGAAGAATATTTGTCTTTTCTGATAAGGAGGCCATAACTCTTTATGTGCCCTGTCACTGTTATCTCTGTGCAAAGAGTTTCTTGATTATCTTATCCCTTTCTTGAGCTAGTAAAAAATATCTTACATCCCATAGTTTCTATTTTAATGTTATGTTGTAACCTAAAACTGTATTTAACATACTACTTAAAAGGATTAATACAGTATTACAAAATAACCCTCCATAATACATATAGTATTCAATTTAATATTTGCAAAGAGCCAATTGTAAAATATGCATTTTTCACACTGTGAATCCCTTTTCCCGTGTCAGACTAGTGCTGGAAGACACCTCCCATTCCAAGGCAATTCTGGCATGGTTTAGAATAGGAAACTCAGACCTGGGACACAATAATCCTGTTTGCATTCCGAGTTTGCCCTTGCAGCCACACAGGAGGCTCTGGGTCCAGGCAGCTGACGTGCCCCTGTGTCACAGGTCTTTTCTGCCAGCTTCCCAGGAGTTTGTTCGCCCCATGGGCTGTAGCAGACAGCGGTGAGATCACTGAGTCTGTGGCCTTGCCAAGGTCACCCAGGACCTGCAACAGCATGCATTTCCCCCAGGGGAAGGCACTCCATCCAAACTGCCTCCTCCCCAGACCTTGTCTGCTCTGCCTTGCTGATGGATTATTCCTGTAACTCTGCGCTTCCCTGGGCACAGCAGGAGCCCGGCACAAGGGAAGAGCCTTGTATTCACTCAGCTTGTTTCCTGATTTTCAGCCCAAATTTGAGTCTCTTTGTTAAACAGGTTGGATTTTCTGGCAAATTTGCAGGGGTGGCGGAGGGTGAGTATCTCGACAGGTCTGGAAACCGTTTTCCCATGTTGAAGAGTTTTGTTCCGTGTTTATTCAGGCAGGGCTCGGCGCTGCATGTTAAGCGGCTGCTGTACAGCCACGTCTTGTCACTAGGGGTCAGGAAAATGCTGGAAAACCGGAGATGTTCCTGGAACGGCAGTCCCTTGCACAGGGTGAGGGCTCTCAGAATCCTACCTGGTCCCAAAAACCAGGAGTGGTTCCTGGTCCTGGCAGTCCTGCGCAAGCGTGGCTGGGCTCTGCGGAGCAGCTCTTCAGCTGCACCTTCAGGATCAAGTTGTTTCCCACGAGAAGCATTTCCAGATCCTTTGGCGTGTCCCAAGGCCACTGGAACGCCGGTGCCGTTGCTGGGACATGCTTGCATTGAGGGTGTCTCTCCAGCCAGATTGCTGGAGATCAGGGAATGGTTTGGGTGGGAAGGGACCTTGAAGCCCACACAGTGTCACCCCTGCCATGGGCAGGGATACCTTCCATTGTCCCAGGTCACTCCAAGCCCTCTCCAACCTGGCCTTGGACACTTCCAGGGATGGATCAGCCACAGCTTCTCTGGACAACCTGTCTCTCTCCACCCTCACACAGAAGAATTTATTCCCAAAATCCCCCCTAAATCTCTTCTCTTTCAGTTTGAAACCATTCCCCTTTGCCCTATCGCTCCAGTTCCTGATGAAGAGACCTTGTTCAGCTTGTAGGTCCCTATCTGCTAAAAGCTTGTCCCCAGATCATTTGGCTGCTGTTTCTGTTTTCAAGTCCTAGAGTTTTATTCCCGACTTCACAATTGCAGGACAAGAGCAGTAAGGGGACAGGAGAGGGGCCCTGGGTGTGGATGTAAACGTGAGGTCTGTCTGTACAAATGTTTGATTGGGTACGATTAGAGAAGGTGGGGAAGCTTTTGGGCAAACAAGCCCTCTGATCAGAATGAGAAACATCAGGCTACAAAGCCAGGTGAGAACAGTTGCTTAGAGATTTGTGAAGTGTTTAACACCTGGGGATGGTTTAGAAGGAATGAGTGATTGTAGCACACAGGAGATGGTGAGAGGAGAAAAGA